ACATTTTGTAAGGTTTCATCTTTTTAACTCAATGTATTAAAAATAGAGATGAATCCATTGTATTAACTGTATATTGTATGAAAATCATACAAGTTACATATTGAAATAGTGTTTTTTTGTATAAACTCACCAAACATTAGTAATAAAACAAGCAGTAATAACGATTGTGACCTACTTATTAATTTGGTAATAATTGCTGTTATGATATTTTGAATCACTACCAAATATTTATATGTTCATTTCGGAATTATAACTAAATATTTCTATTATATATCTTGAAAAAAAAAATTTTTTAATCTTATACCACTTGACTTTCCCCATTTAAAAAACCATTAGAAATTTCTCCAGATGGCTACGCGTATCTTTAGATAATGACAAACGAACTCTTTTCTATAATCCATCATTAAGTGCCACCATTATTCAACTAAACGGAATGAGACTTCATAATTGGATTAAATAAAATTTTCATCAATTTTTTCCCTGAAAACTGCCACTGCGTTCCGCAATTAGAATAACCAGCGTTCTGTAAAAATAATTAAAACGATGCTGCTTCACACTACCGTCGAGCAAATAGTTCTGCAGTACTGCGGTAAAAAGGTATAATTACAAACTGTAGCAGCGAGTTATGCGCAGAGCATACATAGGCGTCCATGTTTTTCATTTTCCGAAATGCTTTAATCGGATGTCAGACTCCCGATTTCGTATAGGGAATCACGGTTAGGTAATCGTGGACGGTTAACGCTCATGAGCATCGTTAAAACGTCGAACTTGATTCGCATTCTACCGACGAAACGCCTCACGATCACGAGACAGAACTCGACACCTAACATAACCCTCAAAAGTTGGGTGGTTTTATGGAGATGCGAGAACGGATACCGGATTTCAATCAAGCCTATAGCGGAGTTCACTTTTTGCATCTTCGCAACCAAGAAATATGCATTAGAATTGTATCTTATCGCATTTATGTGTTTTCAATTAAAGATGACCTTATTATCACCTTATTCATTGTTCTTGGTAGATACGAGATACCATGAGCAACGCATAAGAAAATAATATTTATGCTGCTTCAAAACGTCCATTTTGTTAATGCATCGTAAATAAATGACACTTGTTTTGTTGAATATTTTATATGATTTTATAAAATATTTGATCACAAATTGTAAGAAGTTTTGTATGGTTATTTGTATTAGCATAAAAATTTGCCTTTCAATCTTGTATTATATATGTGATCAAACGGAATTTGTTATTGTAACATACCCCTGTATAAATGAAGAAAGTGTAATCCTTTTCGTCGTCAACGTTGAATGCACTTTGCACAACCTCTATAAACGATGTGTAAAAAAATTAATGCAAAAGTGATTTTATAAAACGAAATAGAAAAGAACGTAATTTTATTGTTTCCAACTGCACGAATTCTCTTTGTGCAACCCACGTAAACGGGGTATGGAAAATTAAATAGAAAATTGAATGAGTTTGATTAGTGTTTTTTATAACTATTTACTTATAGTACTCGTTCAATTGATTTCTAAATGATAATTTTTATCTTATTACAATGAAGGAACTCTTTATAAATATGGTACTAGCAGCCACATTTAAAGTACTGTAATAATTAATGATTCCCGCTATACACTTCGACATGAATTTAAAATTGAAAATCATTAGTGAATAATATAACAGGTTGCTTATTAACGCGCCGATACATATATTTTGAATAAATTTGTATATAATTGAGGCGACCCTTTTCATTTGAATCGAGACGATCAGAACAGTCTTTAATTAGCATCGAGTTCATGCAATCGATATAGTAGTTCAATCTTGAAGTCATATGAGACCCAGCTCTCGTTTAAGGTGCTGTATTGGAAATCTGACAGTATTTTATGGATCTTTTTTCACGTATAAAATCGTGAATTAACACATTAATGCATTAAATTTGTAATTTTAATTTATAAAATTTATATAACTTGTTATCATCAGTTAAGAATTAGTTACGTTCTCTTAAATCATCCTTTTTCTATTATTTTGTTTGTAATTTATACTTTTATGTCACTAGGTGTTGAATAACCTAAAGGTCTGATTACGTGTAATTATTTTCTCATAGGGATGTCTTTTCCATAAATAGGACACTGTATCTGCAAAGTACAGTTACACGATTTTTGAAATAAAAACTATTTACCATATATTGTTAATTTTATTTTGTTTGTTTACTAGCCGTTTCTCTTTTTGTTTGTGCACTTCTTCAACTGTATTTTAATCTTCGCCAATTTTATTATTGTTGACTGAGTTTCTCATTTTTATGTTATCTTTATTATCTAAATATGTGCACCGCGTTGTTTTATTATATACAATAAAAACGATATTTTCACTATAATCTTTGTCTATATAAACTTTCAGTAAAAAACTGTTAGAACTACGTTCGTGAAATAATATTATGTGGAATGTCTAACAGTAGTAATAAATAAAACATTAGCGAATAAATTAATATACTCGTGAAATTTTCACCATCTTTAATACAGATAGTACTTGACTTATTTTATGACACTAACTCGATCGTTTTATTTTTTAATATCGTTTTATGTGTACTTATCGGAGAAATCGTTTTATGTCAAAGAAAGCGGTTCCATTTAAAAAAAGGCACCAATACACTTTTTAAAGTACCCACTTTGTCTTGTAAAGAATATTTTTTATAACTTTTTAAATTCCTGTAAAATCAAGTCAAATCAAATTTAGAATGTGACTTGGCCTAATTGCGGAAATAATCTATTTTCATCTATGTCCGGTGTGATACATTATCAGCTGTTCGTATATCAATACAATAAATTTATTATTTTATTAAATCGATATAACAATGGAAATGTTATTCATCATTTAATGACGAATCAAATAATTGTCTGAATGTTTTTCTTTTTTCATATATTGAAATTTAAAAATTAAGTATTCCTAAAAATAAAACGGACTTGAAAAATTTACCATCATTAGATTTTGATTTGTATCATTAATAAATTTATGCTGTTGTGTTATTCATTCCATATAAATAAAATATCTTAACTTTTACATACCCTAAAGTTATTATTCAGTAATACATTCCTTAAACAATCCCTTTTCCGTTCCAAATAATAAAAGTATTCCATAGAGTATAGTAAATTTATGATACCACTCTTTTCTGCAAGTGAAATTTCTTTTTACAGGATCACCTTATTAAAAAATTGTGTCTCTTCAGTTTTCTAAAGTAGGTGTGCATTCATATGTTAGCAATAAAAATATTTGTGTTTGTTTAAGCTTTGATATTACAATATATTTTAAGGTCAGTGATAATTCTTTTTTTTTCTTTTGGTTCAAATAAATGTATGAGCTAAAATCACCACCGCCAATATGAAGCAATTTTTCGAACACTCTTTATTTAATATACAATAATTAATTAATTAAAAATATACACCTATAATCTTTTTACAAATTGTTTCTTACAATAAAAATATACAATAAATAAACCAACAAGTAATTGAAATTACAAAACACTTCCTT